TAAAGGGAGATGAACATTCCATTCCCAGATTAGACACCTGGGGGAAGGCAGGGCAGGGGACCATGCCTCCTGCATGGCACCACAGATGCCACTGAAATTTGATGACCTGAGAAGAAACGTCTCACTAAAAGGGTACTGGCCAGGTACAGGGACCCATCAGCAAAGGGTTTGAGATGAGCCATGGTTGGCTGGGATGAATGTTAAGCTGAAGGAGGAAAGAAGAGAAGAAGCTGGAGGTCAAATTCCCACTGTGTCGTTGCCTTCAGCCTAAAACCACCAGGAACACACATGTAGTCAAATAAGTGTGGTTTATTACTCATCAGAGCCAGAGAGAATGGACTCCATATGGAACTGCGGGGTGGGGCATCTCAGTAAGAGAGTATCAGAAGAAAATTATTATGAGAGTTGAGCTTCTATTGAGTAATTTGGAGACAAAGTCTAAGGAAGCAGAGGCTCGCTATGGATTGCAACAATTAAATGACTGATTATCTCAAAAAATCTTATCTATACGGAAGGCAGACCAGGCAGGATAAAGCTATAATTGACAAAGTAGCAGTCTTATCTAGGAAGGAAGGTGGTACTTGGTATTTTGTGGGTGAAACCTTGTTTCAAGTGGAGAAATAATCATTCAGTTTACACCTTCCAGGGAAAACAATACTGCCTGTACCCGAACTTCTCACCTCTGTCTGGATCTGTAACAAAATTTATTTCTGTTGGTTAAGCCACCCAGTCAGTGGTATTTTGCTATGACTACCCTAGCAAACTAATACAGACAAGAGACTGAATTAATAACAAAACACTTACCATGAAGAAAAAATCAGACCCAGATAGATTCACTGGTGAAGTCTATCAGACACTTTTAAAAGAATTACAGCCAATTCTTCAGAAACTCCATGAGGCTGCTGTTACCCTGATGCCAAAACCAAATTAAGACATCATAAGAAAGGAAAACTACAAATATTTCCTATAAATATAGATGCAAAAATCCTCTGCAAAACATTAGCAAATCAAATCCAGAAACATCCATCATGCCCAAGGCTTATAAATCATGACATAGTGATATTTATCCCACAAATACAAGTTTGGTTTAACATTCTAAAATCAATTAATCTAATAACCATATCAACAGAATAAAGTACTTTTTTTTTTTTTTTTACAAAATAGTGTTCTTGTTTTCATGGTGCTAATATGCCTCTAAGTGTACTATTAATTGAAGGCAAGTTTATATTTAACAAGTAATTTGGGGTTATTGGTCAACCTTAAAGTGCATCTTTATTGATTATCTCAATAAATGCAAAGAAGGCATTTGACAACATACGAAACCTCTTCATGATTAAAAATCACTCAACTAACTGGGAATAGAAAGGACTTTCCTGAGCCTCCTAAGACCATGTATAAAAAATCCAGCTAATGGCAAACTTACCAGAAAAAAACTGGAAGCTTTTCCGTTAAGATCAGGAACAAGATAAAGATGTTCACTGTCACTTCTAGTCTTGTTACACTGGAGGTCCTGACTTGGGAGATATGCAAGAAAAAGAAAGGACATCCTAGTTACACCAGAAGTCAAATTCTCTCTATTTGCAGATGACATAATCCTGCCTCCACATTTAGACTCCATCTCACTAGAACTGAAGCTGAATAGGTGACACTATCTTCTTTCTTTTTTTTTTTTTTAAGATTTATTTGTTTATGCATACAAGAGCTAGGGTGCAGGCCAGAGATGCACAGGGTGAGAGGATCCACCAGAAACAGAGCGGGGAACAGAACAGGCAGACTGACAATATACACTGCTAAGGGGAGCAGCAGGTGAGCCAGGAGAGGTCTGCTTCACCATGTGGGTTTCTCTCTGGTCAGCCGGGGTTCAAACTCATGCTGCAGAGGCTGCAGACTGCCTCATAGTGTGGTGCCCAACCCCCTGTGCCACCAGGGAGGCCCGAACTATCTTCTTTCTTAGGATGGAGTTGTCTTGTGGGTCTGCTACTCCTAGACAGCCTATTTGGCCGCCATTTTGTCACCTAAACAAGGTCAAAATGGCCCGGCCAGTTAGGACCAGGAGCCCAACCCTTCAGCCCTTCAAATCAACCAAGAGCACAAAGCTGGATCACACTGGGAAGGTTATGCATCATGAGGTATGGCCGGAATGCCTGGGGGGCTGAGGACTGATGCATAACATGTACCTCACGAGATATGTCTGGAACACCCGGGGGGCTGAGGACCGATGCATAACACTACTCCCGACTTATACATCACGAGGTATGACTGGGAACGCCCAGGGGGCCGAGGACCGATGTATGACAAGGGACCCCAGAAGCTGATCAGGGGACCACCTTGTTGATAAGATTAGAACCATGGCTGGGGATTAGGGTGTGTCATCAAGTTGATAAGAAGTGGCTGGAGGGCAGACTCACAATCCCTAATCTTCTACACCCTTCCCTTTTCTTTAATCTCCTTCCCCTTACAACCAATGCTGTATGTCAATAAAAGGGCCAGGATCTTGCTCTTCAGCAGCATCCTGCATTATGTAGCCTGCTCCACGACTCCTGTTTCTTTATCAGTGTGGTGTTGCCTGATGCAACAGTCTGTTTATCCTAAGACTCCTTTTTCTTGCCTTTTCTCCTTCCTCTGAATAACCACATCTTTTCTTATTTTCAAGTCCTCCTGATTGCCTAAGAACTCTGCTAGCACTTCTACCTGCTGGGTAGTGATGGCCTCCTAAAGAGACACTCAGTCCCACGTGCTTGTGTTCTTACTGCTGACTCTAATGCAGGGTTTTAAGACACTGTGGGGTGCGGGTGCAGTTCTTAGTGGGGTAGTGGGTGTTAGTCCCACCCACCTATCTTCACCCTCAACATACACACACACACGCACACACACACTTTTCAAAACCTGAGGACTGCCTCCTGCTGCAGAGCCCACCCTGCCAGTTGACCTAATAAGTGCCCTTATTGTCTCTCTTCTGAGTCACTTCCTATCACCCTCCACCCTCCAGCCTTCACAGGTAAACTACTTGCACTAGAATCCATGTCTGAGGGTCAGTTCTAGGGACCTTCTTTCAAAAATCTAATATTTGAGGGAAACTAATATTATGACAGATAGTCCTAATAGATTGTAAAATCAATTTAGTGAATCTTGAGCTATAAATCAATAAAATTGAAATAAAACTTATTCATTTTTAAAATAATTGCCATGTCAACATATGACTTAAAAAAAAAAAAAGAGCTACTTTTCTAGAATATCCTAAGGAGAGGCCAAAAAACAGGACAGGACCATGTTTTCTGGGTGGTTGGGTGTGAGGGGAGTGGGGGCGGGGGGTGCTTAGATTTTTATTCCCTCAATTTTGTGATTTTTAAATTCTTTTTAAGATTTATTTATTCATACAAGAACTGAGGTAAGGCCAGAGGTGTGGGGGGGTGAGAGGATTCACCAGAGACAGAGTGGGTGACAGAACAAGCAGATTGACTGAAGTACACTGCTGAGGGGAGCAGCAGGCGAGTCAGGAGAGGTCTGAGGCACCAAGTGGGTTGCTTCCTCCCCAGGGATCAAACTCTTGCTGCAGTGGCTGCCGATAGCTTCATAGGTTGCGTCTTAACCCCTTGTGCCACCAGGGAGGCCTGTGGTTAATTTTTTAAAACGTTTACAATCTCACTTCTGATGAGAATGACATCTATAGGTTGCTGGTGGCATTAGGAATTGCACTTTGAGTTTGCGATGATAAATCCTGAATGTATGACAAGCAAAAAACTAAAATGGGGCACACAGAAAGAGGCACAAGGCAGTGGTGTATGTTCAACAGAACATGGAAAGAACTTAAATGTCTGGATAGGAAAGGTTTCAACAGTCAATATTCTCGGAAAACGAGGCTTTGAGATTGCTTGCAGGACACTTGACAGATTGAGGAGGAAATGTCAATCATTTATATCAGAAACCTCATGGAGAAACCTCATGGAAATAGCTGGTGACAGTTGGGGGTGCTTAAGGTGCCTCAGTGGCACCCCCACCTGTGCGCTGTTGGGGGAAGAGGGTTGATGGAGGTGCGCCACAATGTAGAATGAACGTGAAACGATGACACAGCCCTCACCTGGATTGCACGCTAACTTTAAACTTGCCTTGACATAAGCAAGCACAGGGGGGCAGGTAGTGATAAGGTTCCAAAAAGAGGGCTGGTTGGTTGGTAACGATTTGTCCTTTCGGCCTGGCACTCAAGACCTCCCCAGGCCTATGGACAACGGGGCACAAAATCCCCTTGTGAGGTTTTAAAAACATACTGTTCTCGGGGCCTCCCTGGTGGCTCAAGGGGTTAAGCACCTCACTATAAAGCAATCCTCAGCCTCTGCAGCACAAGTTTGATGCCTGGCCGGCCAGGAAGCAACCCACAGGGCTCAGCAGACCTCTCCTGTCTCGCCTGCTGCTCCCCTCAGCAGAGCATTTCAGTCAGTCTGCCTGTTCTGCTCCCCACTCTGCCTCTGGTGAATCCTCTCACCCCCTGCATCTCTGGCCTGTGCCCAGCTCTTGTATGCACAAATAAATAAATCCTTAAAAAAAAAAAATGTACTGTTCTTGAAAAGAACTTTCCAGACTTCAAAGTAATCAGCACTCGGGGCTCCCGGAGAATATAACAAACACTGGGACTCAACGTCGTTGAGTATCGCCGTCTGCACGCGAAAGGCAAGGAACCAGGGGGTGAGCGAGCGAGCCGACCCCACTGCGGGCGATCTCCGCGGACTTGGGGTGCAGCCGGCGCGGGGAAGCGCTGAGTGTGAGCCCCGGGGTGCGCTCTGCGCCAGGGCCGAGCCCAGCCGTCCGGAGACCGAGCGGCCGCGGGCCCGCGAGGCCGCCCCACCCCGCGCAGCCAGCAGGAGCGCCCTCGGGCCCCCGCGAAGCCGTCCCGGGAGGGGCGGCGCCGGCGAGGCGGCCGCGCTCTCGCCGCCCCGGGGTGTGGTTGCCGGGGCCGGGTGGGGCGGGGAGCCGGGTTTAAGGCGCACGCCGGCGGGGCCCGGCGCACTCGCGCGCCGCAGCCACCGCTCCCCGCCATGGAGCGCTCCCCGCTGCGCGCCCTGCTCCTCGGCGCCGCCGGCCTGCTGCTCCTGCTGCTGCCCCTCTCCTCTTCCTTCTCTTCCGACGCCTGCGGCCGCTGCGAGCCGGCCGCCTGCCCGCCCCTGCCCCCGCTGGGCTGCCCGCTGGGCGAGACCCGCGACGCGTGCGGCTGCTGCCCGGTGTGCGCCCGCGGCGAGGGCGAGCCGTGCGGGGGCGGCGGCGCCGGCAGAGGGCACTGCGCGCCGGGCATGGAGTGCGTGAAGAGCCGCAAGAGGCGGAAGGGTAAAGCCGGGGCAGCAGCCGGCGGCCCGGGCGTGAGCGGCGTGTGCGTGTGCAAGAGCCGCTACCCGGTGTGCGGCAGCGACGGGACCACCTACCCCAGCGGGTGCCAGCTGCGCGCCGCCAGCCTGCGGGCCGAGAGCCGCGGCGAGAAGCCCATCACCCAGGTCAGCAAGGGCACCTGCGAGCAAGGTGGGCATGAGCGCGTCCCTGCCGACCCCGACCGTCGAGGCGCGCGGAGCGAGGACCCGGCGCGGTCGGACCCGACGGGGCGCCCGCGGCTCGCGCGCCCGGGGCTGGTCCCCCGGCCTCCCTCGTGGACTGGCCAAGAAACCCGCGGGAGGGGAGAATTTGGCGGCCGCCGGGACACGGAGAGGGATGGGTGATGCGTCCCTTCTGTCTTTTTTGGGGAGGGTGGTTTTATTTTTAATTTGGCGCAATGGCCAAAGAGTGACAGGGGAGTGTGTATGTGGAGTATGTTTTCCCGCTCAATCTCCTTACTCCCCAAAACAACCCCACTTGGTGCTAACAGCTGGCAAGCTGCCCTCACTTTTGGAAGCCCAAAGATGTCATTTTCTCGTCATTCTTTCTTGTCTGGGGATAGGATTAGGGGTGGAGGCTAGAGAGTTGGGTAAAAGAGCTGAGCTGTAAAGTACAAAGTAAGGACTTTGGGAAAGAAGTTATTTGTTGCACGTCTAATTGGCTAGATTGAAATAATTTTTAAATGGATTTCATGGTTTCTTAATAGTAAGGAAAATGACTCACTGGAAATTGTAGATTCTCAGACAATCCAACTAGCTAATTTTTTTGTGGACAATAATAAAATGCAAACACTTTGAAGAGTGTTTTTATGATGTAGTTTATATTGTGAACCAATTTGTTTTTCTTTTTTGTTTTTTTGTTTTTTGCGTAATTTGTCCCCAGGATGTACTGTTCAGCAGGATGCCTTTGAGATTATGTTTGCTCCTTTATTTTATTCCAAACTTGTCCAAGCTTGCCATAAATGAAAGGGAAAATAGAGTCTGGACTTGCAAAAAAAAAAAAATGAAAACAGACTTTTTTTAACTCTAATGACTGAAGTAACATTTTCCATAGGTAGTAGTTTCAAAGGAAAGTTAGATTCCAACCTTGGCAGTTCCTGTCCTGGTCCCAGCCAATGAAGGAAGGAGAGAGAGTCAGTTCTCCTGAAATGATAGAAGCAGTTGCCACTTTAATGTTCTCTGAACTTTCCAAATAATTCTTTCCTTAGAGTTTTTCCCAGAACTACATATACTAATATGTCAATAATTTTCAGAGTTCACTATCAAAAGACCTTACTGTTAACTGTTTATATTATCATCACCTTAAACTCAGAACATCACAACTCAGAAAAATCCACATACTTTTCCAACACAAACAGTCATTTGTTTCTTTGGATCAAATTTCTCATTTTGTCAAGAAAAGAAAAATGTGCATAGTTTAAGAATTCATTCCAAATATTGAGATTAAACATTCCAAGGGGAATTTTTCACCACAGTCTTTCCAAATCACTGGTATTTCTTTGCCTTATCAGAGCAGAAGCTTGGCTTGGTGATTATTGAGGGGTTGTTGTCATTTTCTAGCCTGTAGCTAGTTTTCCTCCTTTTCTCTCTTGCTGCTTACATCTCTAAACACACATCCCATGCAGTTATAAAATGTTGAGATTGAGTGTCATAAAGAATTATGTTGCGTTGGGCAACACCACACTGACAAACAGGAGTGGTGGAGCAGGCTACATATGCAGGATGCTGCTGAAGAGCAAGATCCTGGCCCTTTTATTGACACATGTAATTGGTTTTAAGGAGAATAGGGAGATTAAGGAAAGGGGAAGGGTGTAGAAGATTAGGAATTGTGAGTCTGCCCTCCAGGCACTTCTGATCTACTTGATGCTACACCCTAATCCCCAGCCATGGTTCTAATCTTATCAACAAGGCTCTCCACTGATCAGCTTCTGGGGTCCCTTGTCATACATCGGTCCTCGGCCGCCCGGGCATTCCCGGTCACACCTCGTGATGTATAAGTTGGGAGTATATGTTATGCATCGGTCCTCAGCCCCCTGGGCATTCCGGACATACCTCCTGATGCACATGTTATGCATTGGTCCTCAGCCCTCCGGGCATTCTGGACATACCTTGTGATGCATAACCTTCCCAGTGTGATCCAGTTTTGTGCTCTTGTTTGATCTGAAGGGCTTAAGGGTTTGGGCTCCTGTTCCTAACTGGCCGGGCCTCTTTGACCTTGTTTAGGTGACAAAATGGCGGCCGAATAGGCTGCCTAGGAGTAGCAGACCCACAGAATTAGTCATATAACTTCATTTTTCTGTACACCCAGGAACTCAACTTTTCTCTAGACTCCAAACTCCTGCGGTTATGGACCTACCTTTCTAATCTTTGGGGAATGTTAGGAGGAATAGCATCTGAAACTAGAAAGCTTGACATTAATTAGCCTTTTCTCCCAACCTAAATTTAGAGATACTGAGAGAGAGCAGAAAAGAAGGTGAGGTCCACCAGAATACTTTTCCACAGCAGAGTCAAATAAGGCTGAAATCAGATCTCCTAGTAGGTTCTCCTGACTCCTGGATGTCTTGATAATCACAGAAGAAACCCCACAGGCTGCCATTGACTTGTGTGCTGTTTAGTAATAAGACTTCAAGGAATAAAAAATTCATTTTCTAACTTCCTCCAGCCATCTCTCTCCTCTCAGAAAAAAAAGCTTGAGTTATGCTTTTATGCTTGCTGGGGCATTTTGGGTGGGGGTGGCTGCTGTTGGAATCATCCTTGGTCTTACTTAACAAACATTTATTGAGCATCTAGCATTTATGAACATTGTACCAAGTGCTTCCCAGCCAGGGATACCCAAATAGATCTATTCTTGCTGATTAGAAATGTCCTTCTTATAAGTTGCAAACTCATCTCCTAGAACACCTTCCCTGGAGCCCTAGAGATACTCCCAATCTTCCCTTTTAGTGAGGCCATTACTTTCCCATCTTCTGGGGAGAGAGCTTGATTTTCGTGTTTTTTGTACCTCTGATAGGAGACAAATTCATCTTGCAATTTTGTCTGAAAGGTAATGAGCTTATATCTGTGATGATGAATTTAGTATCATTAGATCTTACTGAAGCCTCTGAAGACAAGAGTAACTGGAAGGAGGGATTTGATAATTCCATTTAATAAAAAGTTAATATAGAGAAGCTAAGATGTATAATAAAGTCTCACATTTGGAAAAGAACATAGTATTCCTTTATTCCAGTTCTTGGCTATACCTTGTGTTATGAGCCTCCAAACCTGAGCTCCTTGGCAATCCCATGTCCACCACCTTGTCCTTTCCAGTACCATCTGTGGAACCAAGCATAAGTATTCTTAGCCATTGCTTTGTGTAACTGCCATTTTAGAATTTTAGGTTTTGCTGGGAAAAGACTGCATTCCAGAGATAGTTTGAACCCTCACTCCACCCTTACTCTCCAGTCACCAGTGAGGGTGAACTTGCTGTAATTGGAGCTGCAGGTTGGAGCTGCATCTCGGCCTGGCCAGTCAGCTTAGAATGATAGCCGGGCAAAGTTGGAGAACGCATCCTTGTAGCCAATGAGTAACTGCCAGCATAATTTAACCTTATTAAAAGACCCCTGCTTCCTTTGTTCGGGGCTCTCGGTATCTGCCACTGTGTTGGTAGGTGCCATGAACCCGGACTCGAGTCTGAAATAAATTCCCTTTTGTGTTTGCATCAGCTGTCTTTGGGTTCTTGGAGGCTATGCTCGCCGAGTCTGCTGACCTTGGGCACAACACCATCCTTTCTCCCTCAGAATTATTTTTTACTAGTGAGACCCAGAATTCCTTCTTCACTTTTAAGAGTTTCCCTTCTCGGGAAAAAGGTAAATACCGGATGATCTAATTTACATGTGGAATATAGAGAAACCAAACAAAAGGTCAAGAAAAAGTCAAAACTAGCAAGCTGACCATCGAGCTGAGGCATATAGCAAAAGAAGGGGGAGGGAGGAGAGCAAAACAAGGAGGGAAGAACACAGGGAAATGTGGTGATGGTTCATGGGTGATATGGTGGCAGGAGAACTATGGGGTGACAACAATGTAAGAAAAAAAAATTTAATTATTTAATAAAAAAGAAAAAAAAAAAGAAAAAGTTTCCCTTCTTAGTACCCTTAGGGACAAATTCAAACTACCTAGAAAGACTTACACAAGATAACTAACTCATCACAGAGGCCATCCTGTTAGTTTTGTCTCTTCTTTCCATCCCACTTTGCAGTCCAGCCACGATAATTGTTTGCTGTTTGCTAGTGTTTGCAGTCACAACCTCACCCTCACTCAGCTTCTCACCTTTGAACTCAGCACTCAAGGATCAGCTGTGTCACTTTCTCTGTGGAATTCCTAGGCTCTCTGACCCTCCCCACTCCATCCCCCAAAATGATGTCCTTCTTTGTCTCTGTGTCTGCTTTCAGCCACTTTATTATCAAATACGTGTTGCACTTTAATTGTGTCTATGTAGGTAAGACACATTCTAGCAGAATGGTTAAGAAGCTGAGCTCTCGAACCAGACTCACCTGTAATGTAAGGATTGTAACCATACCTGTTTCATAGCGTTATCATGAAGATTCAGTTTTGCGAAGATTATCATAGAAAGCACTCAGTAATTATTCATTGTCCTCATTCAACTTGGAAGTAAAGTCCATGATGGAAGGGAAATGTTGCTCCCTAATCTCTCCCTGAGAGCCTAGATCAGTACTTGGCACTAGTAGATGCTTTAAATATGTGTTGCCTGAACGAATGAATGAATTTGCCAAGTACTCTTCTAGTCCCAGGACAAATAGCCTTGAATAAGATAGACAAGGTCCCTCTCTCAAGGAATTTACCGTAAGCTTTAGATTTGACTTTAGTAGTATATGCTGTAAAGAATGTAAACAAGAAGGGATAGATGAGTAGTAGTAAGAGGAGTGGGCCTAGCCATGCAAAAGACCCCTGTGAGGATTTCAGCAAAGACAGTGGAACTCTGAGTGAGAACAAGCTTTTGCTAGTTGGTATAGCGTCACCCCACTGTCTCCGAAGGACTCTTGGGATGTCCACCTTCCCCACTGGCTGGGACCATCCTGCAAGATGGACTCCATCATGTAATTCTTTGTAAACACTGTGGCTAGCTAATAGTTGGGCTCTTCATAATTATCTGTT